ACTGGTTCAACAGTACTGGACTCACCTCCGTATGGTAAATGGCCATGACAGCCGTTAACGGCAATCTAGAAACTTGAGATAGTTTTAACATGATTAATGCATCAGATTTATTATTATTATTATCTGGATGCACCGCAAAAGATGCGTCGATCATCCATTTTCATGACTCGTAGTGATTCTGCGGAAAGTGTCAGGTGATACAACAATATACAAAACAAATATCGCATCATGCAAACACACTTATTCCAATCAGACTCTGTAGGTTCTCAAACTCTTGAGGCAAGAATAGTAATCATTGGATGGATATCCAAACGAGCTCTCTTAGAGACATAAAGTCCCCTTGCAACAGGAGTAGCTGAATACGAGAATATTCAACAGGAAGAACCAAACGTTCCTACAGACGTTCCTATTCCTAATCAAGCTACAGAAGATGAAGAACAAGAAGAAGATGAAACTCTAAACCAAACTTTACGAAATCTACAAGAACAAGCGCCTTCGCAAACTGGAAGACGCTGATTCAGGCCAAGGAAGTATGGCCTACGTGCTCTAAATCAAAATGTGAGACACACCACCATCAATCAGGGTTTTCTCGCTTCACTAAAGTTCAATGAGTTTGTCAAGACTACAAACCGACATTGCCACTGCTACAATGGAAGCGGAATACAATGCGCTGTCTATGGTAATGCGTGATATCTTACCTCTACGAAGAGTTTTCAAGACGGTAGCTCAAGGACTCGGGCTATCCAATGAAACAGCCACCTCTCTAAAGACAACTGTGTGGGAAAACAATATGGGATGTCTGAAACTAGCTCGCCTCAAGCCTGGACAATACACCCCAAGATCCAAACACTATGCAGTCAAATATCACTGGTTCCGATCTCACGTTTCGGATTCCACAAACAACATATCGGTTGAATATATTGAATCAGAAGCTCAGAAGGCCTATATTCTAACAAAGGGACTTACCTTGGACAAGTTCCGCTCCATTCAAAAACTACTCTGCAGATGGTAAGCATACTCTTCATTCATGTTACATACCTCACTGTTCGATCGAGAGGGAGTGTTGAGGTCAAGCGAATCGCACCGCGAGTCCAATAGATCGGACCGGTGGCTTACTCTGATTGGGTCATTCTCATGATCACTTGACACCTCAGTTCTTCTCCCAAACTCTATATACTACTCTCTACGCGTATCTACTACTGCTTTATCCTCTGCTCAAGTTCAGAGCAATCCTCACTTTCATGAACTATCATCAATAAGAATAGCAACTCTATCTCTATTTTAACTCTATTGTCTAGTGCCCTCAACTGTCCCTCAAGTCCGTTTATAGACAATCCTTGCAACAATATTGCAAAAACTTTATGATCAGATTTTTCCTCCCTTTTTTCTCATTCCTCTTTTTCTTTTCTGTATTGGTCCTCCGGGCCCCCCGGGGGGGGGGGGGGGCGCCCCCCGTTTGGGTCATTATGGGGGTAAATTTTCTTATACCTGGTAGCATGAATGACATATAAAATGGTACCGGTACCGGTACCGGTACCAGTACCAGGTACCGGTACCAGTACCAGTACCAGGTACCGGTAAAGGTACTGCTGTAGGGTGCGGTACCTGGTACACTCGCACAACCAAACCGCTTTCTCTTTAATCGTATTAGTCGAAGATGACCAGTGACTGCGAATCATCATCGAATATGAATGATGAGTGCACAAAACACTTCGAACTTTGACTGCCTCCTTTTAACAATGAATGCCCTGTACATCTTGTCTGCCTTATCATGTCTTTCTGTAACATGGTCGTCAGGTGACAGCCTTAATCTCGCCTTTGAGACAGCAGAGAATACGGATCTTACCGTTCTTGGCGAAGAAGGGTTGTCAAAGCACGAAGGAGGATACTCTCTTAAGGTGAATGAAAATTGCGACTATATCCTGAAGCTTAGTTTCAAAGGGCATTCAAGTGACAAAATGGGAAGTGGTGCAAAGGATTTCGAAGGTGGTTGCGCTCAAAATTCTGGATCAACTCTCCTGGAACACAACCGTAACTGGCTTCAGTTCCGAGACTACGTAAAGGAGACGACGGGTTTCGATCATGCATCGTTGTATCCTAGGCCTTGTGGCTTGGAGCCTTTGGGAAGACGGCAACCAAGATATGATGTGAACTTCTACAATGTTCCAGCGCATGTTCGTGCTCTTTGGAATTGTGAAATCTTCAGTTTGCCGGAACAATGTGCATACAGTCAACCTGATGCATTGGGAAGGGGCCACTTTTCTCTCCCAAGGCTTAACAACAATGTTGACCTCGTTCCAAACACCCCACGGTCGTTTCAACCTTATCCCAGCTTTCCACAGGCTCTGGCATACGAGGGATTGATGGTTGCCAGACAGGACAATATACCACAGACTTATGAAGGCAAGTTTGTGACTGTTTCTTGTGATCCACATTGATGATGCTCTGCTTTTCTCACGTACATCACTACTTTGCAGACATGGATAATCCCGAATTTGAAATGGGAAGCTACGATGGTGATATTACCTCTTTCCGAGCAATTTTGCCACACCAATATGTTAGTGGTAGTGACACTTTCCGGCATTACTGGGGATTTCCCGTATACGAGTACCAGACCCTGCCCTATCTCCCGCACCTTTGGTAAGTGGTGTTATGGACTAGCAGGAGCTACGAGAAGTAGAGCCAATCGAGCCTGTTTGTTGAATTGTTGAATATTGCGACCGCTAATTTAAAATTTGTTGCACTGTAAGGAACGTCACGTACACCCCAGCCACTGGCATCATCGAGGTATATATTCAGGGTAAAGCCCGTCTATGTGGCGAAGCCTTTGATGCTGCCAAACAAGAGCAAGAATCGGATTGATGATTGCAAATGTGGAAGTTGCCATAATTGCTTGCATAGTATTTCTTATTGTTTTGCCATTTATTAATGAATTGTGCTGTTTTGCAGTACCTGCGGAACAGGAGCGATGTAGTGGTTGAAGCAAGCCTGGGACTCAACCAGTGTGCCCTATTATCATTACGACGCTCACATCTTCGTCATCAGGCCCTGCATTACCAAAACGAGAAGGGATTGTTCAATTCATTCGGAGGAGTCCGAAACTTGCGACTATATTTGCACCTCAGAATCCAATCTTGGTTTGGTCACAAAGGCATTCAGTACCTGGTACCGGTACATCCCTACATACACCGGATACAAGACGGAAACCCATCAAGAGTGTCACGATAGTGCTTTCAAACTTGTGATCTTCTCAGGTATGGCTTCAAATGGCGAAGGGGCAGACGACCTCGCAAACGTAACAGATCCTCGTGATACTGATGTGTTATGTGGAAGAGGGGGGGCAGCTTTGAGACATCCGGGAAATCAAACTTATCGACGCCTTGTCAATTTAAACAAAGGACTGTATATTACGTGCTTGAAAACAGAGAAACTGAAGATCAGTCGGTCAATTGTGGCGGCAATCAGGGAGCAAAATGGGCGTTTCTTGGAGCGGGATGCCAAAAAAGGGACTTGGCTGGACATTGGTGACAAAAAGGCAATCGAAAAAACGTCACAAGCTCTTCGTGAAGGACAGCCAAAGCTCAGGAAGCAAATGGTCGAATCTGGACAAATTTCCCAAGATGGAAGTATTCGGTTTGATAATGGAAAGTACAATCCCCGGGGTAACCCGGTTTCTGGTGTTCTAAATGGGATGCCTGTCTATGCAAATGCACCAGTATATGCTGTTGGAGGACAAGTCAACATGCCGCCACCCATGGCAAGAGCATCAAGCAATGAGCCAATGAATGCAGATGGGTTGATGTCTAGACTGAGTATATCCAGTTCAATTCCAAGTTGGACTCCTAGTATCGCATCGGGTGATACAAATTCGCTCCGAATGTCAAGTATACCGCCAAACTCAATTCCAAGTTGGACTCCTAGTGTCGCATCTATGAGCACTGGATCCGCAAAACTGTCTTCTATCCCACCAAATAATATCCCTAGTTGGACGCCCAGTATATCTTCCATGGAGAATTCTTCGACTAGGTCTAGAATGCAAGTACGTGGACCATATGCTGGGAGCGGTGTAAATGTTTCGGGTGTCAGTGCGATGTCCCAAGTGTCAGGTTTGGGCGGAGACATGAATTACAGTGGAATGGATGTTGAGTTTGACAACACAGGATACTCAGTGCAACCGAATAATCCTTCATTTCCCCCGCCGCCTCCTCCTCCTCCTCCTGCGATGTCACCGATGGTAGCAAGTCCAGGGATGAGGGCAAGCCCGTTTGATCGGCGGCGAGTATTTGCCAAGATGAAGCACAACAAACCGTCTTCTTCAGTGCGGTCAAAAGAGAGTTTTGATGGAATGCCAGATGTCCATATGGTTGATAGTACTCTCTCTTTAATGTCAAATTTCTCAAATCACGGTGGCTCCAAGAACAATCAAGAAGGAATACCAAGTCTAAGTGATCACTCAATAGGTGTTGGCAGTCGAAGGTCTCTGATGTCTGGCTTGTCAAAAATCAGCGACACGTCGGGGGTTCAAAGTGTATTCTCTGATCTATCGAAGAAAATATCAAACTCATCATCCAGGTCAATCGCCATGAGTGAATTCAGTGACATACAAGAGGCGTTCAACGAAGATTTTGATGGTTTCAACTTCGAAGCAGTGACAGCTTCACAACCGAAATCATAGATGACTAAGTTTTGAAATCGCTGTAGAAGTATGCTAGTGATACACGCTTGTGAGATTTACTTCATATTTTCGTTCAGAATGCTTGGTACCGCACGGTAAGGTAGAAGTGGTTGGTAATTGAAAATTGGAATTGGTTCATCTATGAGGGTTCTTGCACTGGAACTAATTCGTCATGCTGCTGGCAACTAGTACGACGCTCTTTTTGATTTCTGCACCAGAAACTGGTACCTATTTTTAAAAAATACAATGATTGGATCGATACAGTACAAGGTACGACTGGTACAAGTACTGATAACACAGTTCTTAACGTGATAACTTGTGCTCCTGACTCTCATCGTAGAGAGAGCGTACTAGTGCATTGATGTAGCCACTGTTGGACATGATAGACGCTGATTGATATTGCTGTTGGGGTGTATTTACGGGGGTCTGAAGCAGCTGTGAGTAGATGATAGACGATTGATCTTGGGCTTGAGATCAGCAACAACCGTTGGCCTTCGATCGCTCTAATACATCTGCTCGGGACTCGGCAGTCCAGTCAGTCACGTTACGTCCCCTCTTCTTCCATTTAGTTGACTCTATTGTAACGTCTCATCTTGGTCTGTTTTCAACTCCCTCTTTGTGATGAATGGCTGCTGGCACCGAACAAGGTAGCCAAAGAAAAATCGCCATCTAACCTTCAATTGCAAATCAGGCTGCAGGATTCTCTCTGACGTCCAAGTTTCTGGTCGGCGGCTTCAAGTTTCTGACAGTTGCTTCCAGGTCCAAAGTTTGACTAGGTGCTTCTTGGTACGACGGTCAGGTGCTGAGGATCAGTCCGCATCTTAGTCGTTGTACACACGTGTTTCAGGGAGTAAGGGGGTTGCTATATCTGGTCCTTTGTCTTGGGAGTTGGGTTTTTATTCAACGTTGTAGAGTATGCTGCGACATACTATACTTTGTTGTTGGCTACGCTTTTGTTTGATCAACAAGCATAGGAGTATGCTGCGACATACTGTACTGTTTGGGTCTTTCTTGTTGTTGGCTACTCTTTTTGCTACTCTTTTTGCTACTCTTTTGGCTACTCTTTTGTCAACTTTTAGCATATGCTGCTGCATACCACATTTGTTGTTGGCTACTCTTCCGGATTCCTTTTTCGATCGAATTTTGGCGATTTTGACTCGGCTTTTTTGCAAAAAACTGATGCGACCCTGAGTAAGAGCAGTAGAATTAACAGTTTTAGCAGCGATTGCCACTTTCTTGTTATTCTTTGACTTTCCCATTGTCAGTTTTGATGCAAAAAGGAGGAGCAAGTTTCGTTTTGCTACAGATAAATTGTGTAGGCGAAGTACCGAAAGTGATGTTTGTAGGACGTGTTGCTTTTGTATTTTTGTTTTTTTGGAATATGTGGTTTGGTTTGGTTTGGTTTGGTTTGGTTTGGTTTGGTTTGGTTTGGTTTGGTTTGGTTTGGTTTGGTTTGGTTTGGTTTGGTGTGGTTTGGTTTGGTTTGGTGTGGTGTGGTGTGGTGTGGTGTGGTTTGGTGTGGTGTGGTGTGGTGTGGTGTGGTGTGGTGT